GAAGAGTGTGGGTCACCACAGGGCATAGGCTTTGAGCACGAACCACATGGCTTAGAGCCTTGGGGCCCTGGCATCTCCTCCCCTAATGGGAAGAGTCCGGCTCAGCTCTTTTTTGTCAACTAATTACACTATCTAACAACTACTTAACAAGTATTTAACTACTGATTCTAACTATAACACAGGCACAGCTGTGAATACAAACTGCTACGGGACAGGCTGAGAGCCTTAACACACGCTCCAGCTACCATCTAGGGCTGTAAGAAGGAACTGAGAGGGTGGAGGGGCCACCAGGGGTATATATGCACCGGTATACCGGCGCCACTCCAGGGGGCTCCCTGCCTGGCCCTATGGATACTGCTAAGGGAAAAAAGCTCCGGAATCCATGCACGCAGCACGCACACCTAATCAGAATGGACATGAGCAAGCCCTCGAAGAACATCATAAATAACAAAAAAGCTGGTGTTCCTTAACACTGCAAGGGAAGCAAGCATTAAGGAATAATACAAAGAAGCCCTCTGCCTACTGAGTCTTCCCCCACTGTTCTTTTTTCTAGGAGTCATATAATAATTACATTAATTCTCAAACAAGGGGTGATGAGTCAGTGGTAATATGTTAAAAAATAGCATTCCACAAAAACAGTACTTTGCAAACTATAGTCAGTGCTTCATTACAGACCTTCCTAATGCCCAGATTAAGTCATTTAAAGAACCAAACAGTGAAGGAATCGCCTCTCAGTAGCAACCAGCAGGGTCTGGGCAGTTGGACACAGAACTTTGAACCAGCAAATCCAAAATTGTAAAACTGGTTCTTGACACACTGACATGATGGCTGCATCTAGACTGGCATGATTTTGCGGAAATACTTTTCACAGAAAAGTTTTTCCATTAAAAGTATTTCCGCAAAAGCACATCTAGATTGGCACAGATACTTTTGTGCAAAAAGTGCTTTTGCACAAAAGCATCCGTGGCCAGTCTAGACGCGATTTTGCGCAAGAAAGCCCCGATCGCCATTTTAGCCATTGCGGCTTTTTTGCGCAAAACAGTTCTTCCCTGTCTACACTGACCCACTTGCGCAAGTATTCTTGCGCAAGAGGACTTTTTCCCAAGCGGGAGCATGAAAGTATTTGCACACGAAGCACTGATTTTGTACATTACAAAGTCAGTGCTCTTGCGCAAATTCAAGCGGCCAGTGTAGACTACTGGCAAGTTTTTGCGCAAAAGCATGTGCTTTTGCGCAAAATCTTGCCAGTCTAGACTCACCCGACGTATATTGGGTGTGTTTTAAAGAAGGACATAAAACAATCACTCTGGGCACTGATTTTTCTTTTTTGTCCCATAAATAAGTTTATTTCTATTAGCATTTGAGTATCCCAGCAAGGATTGACATGCCATTGTACAAGGTTCTGTACGAACAAATGACAATCAGCCCCAGAGAGTTCCCACTGTGTGATTTAGACAAGTGCAACAGGTGACTAAACAGACGGCAGTGAGAGTTGAAGGTAAGTAGTAACAGGTGGCTACTACTGAAACAAGCTTTGGTAGCCTCAACTGAGGGCATTTAGTTGCACATAAGATTTGATGGAAAGCTGTTCAATCTTGCAAGATTCAGATCTAAACATATTGGGAGGCCAATATGTCCTCTTTGCTGATAACATAGCAAATATCCACACTTCATTGCCATTCTACAGCTTCCCTTCTCCTGCTGCCCTTAAAGCTGCAGGCAGAAGGGAAAGGGCTTGTATCAGGAAGCAGGCCCTGCACACTTTGTGCCACATAGCAGGACCCTGCACCTCTTCTGTGCTGCCATGGCTAAGCCCACTGCTCCAGCCGAGCCCCCCACAGCTGCCAGCACTGCCTCAGGCAGCTCCCAGGACCCTGACAGGGTCCAAAAGAGATACGCATCTTCCTTTCTGATGCAGAGATCCTGGACTTCTTTCAGGTCTGGGGTGAGGAGAAAAACCTCCAGAATCCCCGCACCAGGTGCAGGAGCACCGACATCTACGAGCGCATGGCCAATAGCCTGGCCAGCAAAGACCACAGCTGCACCTAGGGGCAGGTCAGGATAAAGGTGAAGGAGTTGAGGAAAGCATGTCAGGGCCAGGGAGTGCACCTCCCACTTGGGGGTGGCACCCAAGACCTGCCAATATTACTCCCAGCTCCTCCACATCCTGGGGGAGCAGGTTAATCCCTTCCACCCCTCCCCCTTTGCAGTAGACTCAGGTCTTGACACACCCATCATAGCCCACCCGGGGGGGTGCAGTTGGTGAGGAGGCGGAGGAGAAACTGAACCACAAGCCAGCACTTCATGCTCGCTCTGGAGCTGGTCCCCCACACCCTGGATATCTCCCAAGCATCATCAGAAGCCAGGGAAGGCCCATCGGGTGAGTGTCATTTCTCCCTCCCACACACAAGGGCTGTGTCTACATTGGCCCCTATTACGGAATAGGCATGCAAATGTAGCACTTTGGAAGATGCAAATCCGCGAGGGATTTAAAAATCCCCCCAGGCTTTTGCATTTTCATGGCCACCGCTTTTTTCCGGCTTGGAGATAAGCCGGAAAAAAGCATCCAGACTGGCGCGATCCTCCGGAATAAAGCCCTATTCCGGAGGATCTCTTATTCCTACTTGCAATAAGAGAGCCTCCGGAATAGGGCTTTATTCCGGAGGATCGCGCCAGTCTGGACGCTTTTCTCCAGCTTATCTCCAAGCCGGAAAAAAGCGGCGGCCATGAAAATGCAAATGCCGCGGGGGATATTTAAATCCCCCGCGGATTTGCCTCTTCCAAAGTGCTACATTTGCATGCCTATTCCGTAATAGGGGCCAATGTAGACGTAGCCACCCACACATAGGTGGCGAGGGGCTGGGGTGTGCTCCTCACTCACCCCTCTCGGCCTGGGGATTGCACAACAGCCGTAATTTCCTTCCAGTCACTGACTGAAGGGCTTTGAGTCACTTCTCAGGATGAGGTGGCCACCGCCCCCCTGTGCCTCCTTATCTCAGCTCTTGCTAATTGGCCATTTAGTCACATCTGGAGAAATAACTGATCTATCTATTAACACCTGTGTGACCGCAGCAGTGTGGACACACATAGGTGGCGAGGGGCTGGGGTGTGCTCCTCACTCACCCCTCTCGGCCTGGGGATTGCACAACAGCCTGTACACACAGGTCGCCCCACAGTGCCAATCTGGGGCACACAGCTCCAGGAAGCTGCACCAGAGCGGGACAGCCTCCCGCCACAAGCCACCACTAGAAGGAGGCTGGGGACATGGAGACACACACATGCATACTCAGAAGTGCCGCACATGGGCATGCCTGCATGGTCAGGGCAGCACCTGCTCCCAGGGACAGCACAGTGAGGCACAGGACCATCTGCTGCTCACACACACTTCTCCTCCAGCCGACAGGGATACAAGTCTTCTCCCCTTGGGATGCCGCCACTGCTGGACCTGGCATGTGCGCGGCATGGAGGCAAGCCCAGACACCTATGGCCCCCTCTCACCTGCAGGATCCCAGTCTAGTTGGAAACTTCCCATGCCTGCTTGTCCCTGGGATGTGGGAGCAGTGAGGCTCCTCCTGGACATTTGGGTCCCTGTAGGATAGAGTCCCCTGTCTAGGCCACAGAAAGCCTTCCTTCAAGCACATCACCTTCATCTGACCCGAGAACTGTCGGTCTCAACTCACAGATGAGGGCAAGGCTTGATGCACATTGTCTTCAGGGATGACTGACCTTCTCTTTGTTCTCCGCAGCTGGACTAGCTGCAAGAGAGGGTCAGTCGACACCACCTGTGGCAGCCACCCAATCCCAAGTGATCCGCCAGCACAGGAGAATCCAGGAGGAATTCTAGCAGGAGCACATCTCCACACTGTGAGCCCTGCAGCATACCCAGATCAGAGACTGGAGGAGAACATCTAGCTGCATTAATTTCCCAGAAATGTAAACAAAATTGTTTGTCTTGGGTGATTGGCTGAATAATAAGTAGGACTGAGTGGACTTGTATAAAGTGAATTTAAAGATACTATCTTTCTCAGAGTGCAAATAATTGTAATAAAAATAATTTAAAGTGAGCAGGGTACAGTTTGTATTCTGGGTTGAAAATGAAAACAATATATTTGAAAATGTAGAAAAACATCCAAAATATGTATAATAAATTTAAACTGGCATTGTTATTGTTTAACGATGTGATTAAAATTTTGACTGTGACTTTTTTAAAAATCTAGTTAATTTGTTAATAGTAGCTAGGATGATAAGTAGCACACAGACGTTCGGGACTATATCTGTATACATTTGTGATTAAGATTCTAAATACAGCATGTTTTCTTAAAAACCACTACTTCATTATCAGAAATATATAAGGGATTAAAAATAATTGCAAGTCTTTATAAATCCAAAGACTGCACTAGAAAGAAAATGTAACTTTCTTACAAAATGGAACTTGACAAATGGAAGAATCTCTTTAATAAGACGGGCAGATTTAACCTAACCCAATGACTACATTATGAAGATTCATAGGGTACGCCTACATGGAAATAAAAAGCCCACAACTGGTGCAGCTGAATCAGGCTCACGGGGTTCAAAAACTGCTGTATAGGCCTTCGGGCTCAGGCTGGAGCCAGAGGTTAGGGCCCTGTGAGGATGAAGGGTCACGGAGCTTAGGCTCCACGCTGAGCATCTACACAGCAATTTTTAACCCACAATCTGAACACTACCAGCCTGGGCCAGCCACAGCTGTGCTGCAGGACTTTTATGCCCACAGAGATGCACCCAGAAATGCCCCAGACCTTCATTTCCACTATCCTATGGAGTCATTTGCACTTGTGCTAACCTGGTTTAAAATGTTACTAATTTGGAAAGGTATCACTTTGCATCCACTGTGCACAGCTGTAAACAACTGCACATATTGCTCAGGAGTGAAGACTTTGTATGCCTTGATCCTCATTCCAGTTACAACCTCATCAGAGGACTGTGCAGGTCAGAACATTCTGTTCTCTAGGCAAGCTTTCAAGAGTTTCAACAAAAAACAGTCATTTATTGATATTGCCGAGGAGACTTATTTCATTAATAATTCTTTAATTACTTAGTGTCTAAAGATCTCAAGCCTCTAGATTAAGGTGTGTAACTCTACTTATCTCCATTTTACAAGTGGTGAAAGTAAAACAAAGTTAATTATTCGTCCAATGTCAAACAGCAAGTCCCAGAAATACTATTGCCTTATGAGTTCTTCACGTCAGGACATGAAAATAACAGACTTTTAAAAGTTAAAAATAATTGTATTAAAATATTACAAAAGTAAATCACTGCAATTCATTATAACAAAGTCACAGACATTTGTACTAAGGCAGAGCTAGGTAAATAGCTTATGAAGATTCTGATGATGTAAATTCATCTTGTACAGATTCTTTGAGAGAACGTAGAAGTTTTTTAATTCAATACAATCATCTTAGGTGATTTGATAGCATCATTTCAGACTAGAATGAATATTAACTTTTGTCCACTATTCTGTATTCACCCTCCCAACATCAGGGCTAGAAAAGCACAGCTGGACAGGGAAAAGAGAATACACCCTGCAGTGAGTGGTACTGAAATACAAGTTTCCCAATTTACATTCTCAGTTCCAGACATTAGACTTCAGAGTATTACTGCACCACTTCTGCCAAAAATTGCACGTACTGTCCTCGAGCTGGAAAGTGATCAGCTGGTCGGTTGTATGCTGTCCAGACCGGTTCTCCAACAAACAGCCTCATTGCCTTCACATAGTTCTGTGGATGGAAAGAAACTGCAAATAGCTTAACAGCTCCTTTTGGAGGGATCTGAATTACAGAATTTAACAACTTCTGTGGAGCCTCATGATAATTTGCACTTCTGTAGCATCTTTCAAAGAATTTTAAGGTACTTAAAGAACTTTACACCATCACTATTTTGTTTTAGTGTTCCTTAGCAATCTGGCCATTGTAGTAGGAATGGTCCTTAGCAATGATATACCATTTTACAAACTTAATCAGACCCTCAGCACCACTATAAGGCAGATAAAGTATTATACCATTTCACAGATGGGGAAATCCAAGACCTTAAGTAAGTCACTCAAATTTTGCCTATAATGGGGCACAGACCTTGTTGTAGCTATACCAGCATAAACCCCCTAAGTGTAGACATGAAACGTTGGAGTTTGTGCCAATTGAGTACATAATTTTCCACATTTGGGTTGGGAATCAGCACTAAGGCAGCTACAATGATTGCAGATTCAAGGGTATTCCCCACAAGCAGACTAGGGATGTTACATATTCATGATTATTCAATTAATCATGTAACCAGATCAAAACTTAGTGGTTACATGATTATTCGATAGTCCCCGGGGGTGGGGCCAGCAGCCAGTGCAATGCCGGCTCCATTCCTGGGGAGCCCCCTGCCACCTCCCACTGCTGTCTCTGATACAGAGGCAGCAGCTCAAGGTGGCAGCAGCCCCTGTCTGCGGGGGAGTCCAAGCTCCCTGCAGGCAAAGGCTACACCAACATCCCACAGAGCAGCTCCCCCGCCCTGAAGGGGTAGGGCAGGCAGTTCCATAGGGTCCAGTGCTCATGGGGAGCAGACTTAAAATCTGTCTCCCTCCAGGCTTATCGGTTAATCATGTAGTTGACTACATGTTGACATCACAAAGGCAGACAAGTCTCCGTTCCTCGGCCAACTGTAGTGACAGCGTGATGGATAGCTATAAAAACTGACCATAAACTGATTTCATCAAACCATGAACTGGTTTCACACGAGATTCAAAATGGGTCTAAGATGGCAGATATGACCATATAGATGAGCTATATATGAACAGGTAACTTAGGAGTGCAAGTTCAGGTTCTGTAATTCATTTTGTATCCCTCACATTTCTGATGTAATGAATTGCAGATCTGAAATAGCATACTTAATCACCAATATGCAATATGCTTTTGTACACTCGCCTGTCAATATGTATCATTAGGAGTATAATAGATAAAGCCATGTACAAACATTTTCATCCAGTGTAAATCGGTGATATATGCCAGCAGGAAGAGTTATCATGTCTCCCTTCTCCATGAAAATCCGGATCCATTTGTCATCTTTGTCTCGAACATCAAAGTAGCCACTTCCTTCAAGGATATAGCGAATTTCATCATCCAAATGCAGATGTTCTTCATAAAACATTTTTAGCTAGGATAGGAAGGAGGGGATATTATATTTCTTTTTAAGTTTTACAAGCAAAGAAATAAATCTAAATACAACTGCACATAGAGATAGTTTCCCAATGTCTGGGAATCATTTTCCAAAGGAATCCAGAAAGATATAAAGGTCTGAACAATGCATTACTAGATTATGTCAACTGCACATGAAGTCAGGTCTCTGGTTGGTAGGATAATATTCATCTATAGTTGTAAATTTATCTAGAATACACAAATATGACAAGAGCTAAAGTCCCCCGTCACATTATACAGGAATAAGCCAAATGCAACATCACTGCCTAGTGTGTCTAACCATCTTCACGGAAACAATACAAGTAATTCTTGCCAAGCAAGATGCCTGCTGCATAGTGCTTCATACTTCCAACATGAGACATCCCCTCCGCTAGAGTCCCATACCCAACGCCTCACACTCTAACCAGGAGAGACAGATTTTTCTCAGATCTTTGAGAGGGTAGGATAGATACTTTGTCATTCAGGCATTTTAGGACCAATAATTCCAGCTTCTGAAGAAGTCCCATGAGGACTTATCAGGAGAAGTTGTGGGAGGGGGAAAACTACTGCAATGCCATGGGGAGGGAAGAAAGTGATAAATGCAGTTGTTCCTCAAGGCCTCATGGTATATATGGAGAAATTTCACCATTGGCATCAAACTCCTGAGTTACATATCATTCACATTCAATTGGAGTGTCACATCTTTACATTAACTGGTGAGGAAGGCGTTTCATTATAAAATTCATAACTGAGAATTTGACATTGCCCCTCCTGTTTCTGAAGCAAACAGGACATTAGTTCCCCAAATTAAAAAATTTTTGAGCTGGAGAACTGTACAAATCCCTCAGACCTTGCAAGTGTTTAACACATTACAGATTTTAAAAAATTAACTGGAGACAAAAGCACTAATTACAAACTAATACATTTTGTGGGCTGACAATCCCCAAAGTGCATGTAGCTGTAGGCATGTTCCAGCTATGAAAACTGCCAAGTGAACATGCTCACAAGTTATTTCAAATGTATGGGAGGTCTCAAATTCCCATCCAAATAAATTTGGCAGACATTCCAATCTCTCCCCCTCCCTCCCGCCAATGGTGAGTGTGTTAAAATATTCTTAGCACTGAAAATCAATCACCTTGACAACAAGGCCAAGAGAGAGAAGAGTGGCCTCCTTTTTCTGAAAACACTGAGAAATTATTTATGACAGTACTGAGGAATTTGTTACTGTTTAAAATTACCACCATGTCCTAGGGCTGCAGTGACCAAACTCAGGGTTTGCTGCACTGAAGTTCACTGGGGAAAGATTTTGCCAAAGCCGCAAGCTGGCACTGGTCTGAACTTAGTTTGTATGATAATCTAACAGTGTTTGCAGGGCGCCACTGGCAAACATGCAGTTTCAATGTGACAAATGAGAACCACTCTTATTAATGGGAACCATTCTAAAAGGCATCAGATGTAAGCTACTGAAGGGAAAGCAATTACAGAAAACACTAAATCCCATGTCTTTTTAGAAATAGAATCCAAGCAGCCATTTGCAAATCTAAAAACTGAAGAATGTGATTTTTAAAAATGGGGAAAAATCCATTCTTCAAAGATCAGGTTGTGAGCATGCACTTTAAAAGCGGGTGCACACTCTAGTGGCAGACTTCAGAATTTACTCCCTTCCCAAATTCAAACCACGGCTGCTTTACCTTGTCTTGATAATTTGGCAGCTTATCTTTATGTATCGTTATTATATCCATCCAAGAATAGTTTCTCTCTTTCCGAATCCTTGCTAGCTCTGGGTCAGTCTCATAGTTGTCAGCGTCCAACTGTGACAGGTTTTGGAGGGCATGGGAGAAGGAGAGGGAGGGAATGAGGAATTAAAAACAAACATCCATGAGAGACAGCCAGGATACCCAAACAGCCACTTCCAAAACGTGCAGGCAGTGAGTATATAAATAACATTTCAAGTTACATTCTAGTAACTAATAAGTCCAGCAAAGTCATTTCTTTGTTGTGTAGTTTAAAGGGGAAAAAAGGAGGATTATAAAAAAGCTAAGCCTTTCAGAGTCAGTGTGGGTGTCTCAGCAGGACCTACAGGGGAAACAACCTCAATCTGCCTGCAGACACTGCTCCCACAGAGTCTGTTTGTCTTTAATGAGCCAGAATCCCAGTGAATCGTGTCATCCTCCCTCGCAAAAAAAACAAACAACCCCCCCCCACACACACACACACACAAAAACACCATACCACCACACACACCACAACACAGGGAGTCCCTCATGACTAATCAGCCAGGTTGTCATTGTCCCTGCACAACTGCTGAAGTTTAGAGTTACCAGGAGGAAACAGTCTCATTGTTTGTAGTTACTTCACTACTGCTTTCCCACAAGGCAGCCTGCCAACCCTGGCAAGGCATGCTTCCAAAACAAATTAGCCTCGGTAGGGGAAGCAGCAGCATGACAGAAAAATAAATAAATAAACATTCAGTTGAAAGATGGCAACAACAATGGAGGGCGAGGGGGAGAATGTCTTAATTATTTTAAAACTTAATTAAACTTCTTTGGTTACAGACTTTCTTTTGCTTAGTGTCTATTATTACTCCACTTCTTGGAGTTAGGGGCAGAGAATGACTTCTGAGATTCCACATTCTCAGCTCTCCTGTTTTTTGGTAGGAATCAACAGTATGCTCAGTGACTTGCTACTGGTAAGCCTACACTTTATGTAATAAATACCATGTTATAAAAACCTTTGCAACTCTCATCACAGGTACATATCATAGTCTTAAAAGAGTTTCTCATATCAGGCTTGTAAGAGTCGCTTATAAAGGCTATTTGCATTAGTGAACCCAGCATGAGTCTGGGTGAAACAGGAATTACTGAATTCTATCTTGTGTATCGATAAAGGATACAAAGACTGTCCGGCTTGTAGCCTGCATGCAGAATTGCTTGATTATGCAGTTTTTCTGTTTGACCCACCCACAAAATGGCATTTATTCCATAAATGTAGCTCAGCAGTTACAGATCACCACCAACACATGTGTGCTTCTCTTCAGGAATGAAGGATGTTAAGATGCGCTTATTTGTGTAAAAGTAAACGCACTGAAGTAGCAGGGGTTTGGTCTGCATGTAATCAAGAGGGTTAACCGATGAGCCCAAGCTCATTGGTTAACCGTGTACTCAGCTACACATTTACATCCCTATTAGCAACCCCTTGAATTAGCCTGTGGGAAGGAGAGATCACAGTTAGCTACCCAAATACCTTAAAGTAGAAATTTCATTGTATTTATGTATATATATATATATTCATCCTTTCAGCAGGGCTGTAATATGCTTTGCACTTAGGAAAATTCTTTTACCTACTTCCCACTGTTTCACTGTCTGACAATCTAAAAATCAAATTAAACACATTTATACCGATTCCACCCACATTGGGCAGGAGTGTTTCTGTTTTAGCTGTACAGTAGAACCTCACACTTACAACCCGACTGGTCAACCACACAACTCACTTGGAACTGGAAGTATGCAATCAGGCAGCAGCAGAAACCAAAAACCAGCAAATACTGTACACTACTATGTTAAACTACTAAAAATAAAGGGAGAGTTTTAAAAAAATGTAACAAGGCAAGGTTTCTTGTAAATTAAGATGGGTAAAAGCAGCATTTTTCTTCTGCAAAGTTTCAAAGCTGCATTAAGTCAATGTTCAATTGTAAAGTTTTGAAACAATGACAATATTTTGTTCAGAGTTATGAACATTTCAGAACAACAATGATCCTGTAGCACCTTAGAAAGTAACAAAAATATATTAACAGTATCATGAGCTTTCATGGGCACAACCCACTTCTTCAGATGACAAATATGGAGAAGTGTGTTGTGCCCACAAAAGCTCATGATACTATTTATATATTTTGTTAGCCTCCAAGGATATGTCTACACTACAGGACAAGCCAAATTAAGATACGCAATTTCAGCTACGTTAATTGTGAAGCTGAAGTCAAAGTAGCTTAACTTGGCTTTTGGCGCTGTCCACGCTGCAGGAAGTCGAAGGAGGAACACTCTTCCTTTGACTTCCTTTACTCCTGGTGAAAGCAGGGTTATCCGCATGGACTAGAGCACCCCTTTCACTTCCAATTAGCTGTCTTAACTAGACCGCTAATTCAAACCCTGGAAGATGAACAACAGCAGCTTTGAGTGTCATCTGTAGTGTAGAGGTACCCTAAGGTGCTACAGAACCATTGTTAATTTTTAAGGTTTTTTTAGTTACACACTAACAAGGCTACCCTTCTGAGACTTTTGAACATTTCAGAGTTACAACTCTAAGGTTCTTACATACTGGGATAGTTGAAATAGATAGTTTGTAACTCTAAGGTTCTAACATACTGGGATAGTTGAAATAGTACAATCTGAGCATTTAAACCAGACCTCAGCCATAATCTAAGTTCATTTTTAAAAAAGTGGGGAATGAAGAGGCTCAGCTGTTTACGTACTTATTGTCTCTGGTGTACAGTAAACCTCACACTAGGACTGAAAGCATGTTACCGCCTTTACATGTAATCATGCTCACATGCTCCTGAGTCCAGCAAAGATCTTAGGTATTCTCTTCTACTTAAACAAATCATGATTTTTAAACTACAAGGGCAGAGACACTGACACTCCTTGTACTTTTAGGAGCAAGTATCTGCCAAGTACAGTGTCAGGGCCCAGACAGGCTTTTCAGACTACCCCCTACATGTGGATTTCCTTTGGCACAGATTCTGTCTCTGCGCCGCACTGCACCATGACGACGGGTCTCCATTGTCTCCAGTAGCAGCAAGAGATGCAGGCAGCCCCCATGGGGCGGTGCACAGACGCGGTAAGGAAGTGAACGCTTCAGCAATAAGCAGGGGAGGCGCCAATCAAACAGCTGCGGTTACTGTCCTAGGGCTGCGCGGCAGGGGCTGAGGCGCAGGGTTAATTTGAAAGGCAAAGGGTCAATGACGCTAGCGGGGGAGAGCCCGTTGGGAGGGGTAATCGCAAAGCAGCTTTCCCCGGGCCCCCCGCCCCCTTCGGGTGCCCGGCCCGGTTTGGGAGCCGGGATCGGGGCCGGGCTGTAAACACGCCTGTGGGCGGAGACCAGAGATGGCGGGGCCCGCGCTGCGCCAGCGGCTGCAGCGAGACCCTG